AATGTCTCTGTAGTTGCAGCAGATGCTTAGCAACAGTCAGGAGTATGTTAGCATTGATTAGAAAATGCATCCTCAGTATTTCTACTGTAGTAAGCAGAGATCCATGAATAAGACTGAAAACTTAATTGTTATTTTAAACCAGGGGGAGGTTAATTTAAAATGATATATAGAACAGATATGTTGTAAGGTTAGGAGTTTTTTGTACATCTGGCCTGAGTTATTTTTTAAATCTTGTACTTTATTTCAAGTTTTTCTCTGATCTCTTACTTACTATCTGTTCTCCCTAAAATGTTACTAAATACAATGACCTTTAGAATCAATTCAGATTTTTAAATTTCTTTGAATGTATGAGTCATTTGACAAGATATTTTAAAAAAAGATGAAATCGTCAAATAAATCATGTGAAAGATTATCTGAAAAATTCTATTTTTGCATGTGTATCTTTTACACACACACATTTGTTTGTTCTCTCAAACGTACTATAATATTATATCATCTGATAAAACCATGTCTGTTTGTTGGGATGACGAAGGCTCATTCCAGAGAGAAACACTGGAAATGGGGAAAAGGCAATAATCATATTACTGAATATCAGAACCCCATAGTCAAAGTTTTTGAGTTGTGGCTGAAATGTCATTCAAAGAGCACATGCTCATACCTTGTAAGTAGTGGGAAACTATGTTTAACATGCAAAACATATGCTAATACTTTTGGGTCATCTTTTTCTTTTCAGGGGTTGAGGTTGAACCATCTACCAACTAACACCAAAACCCATTTGTTTTTAATTTTTATCATTGTCCTCCATCTTTATAAAAAATGCTGTTGTCCCACATGATATTTTTTTCTGGAGGCAATGCCCTTTGATCAGCACTTTTCTTTAAATGAAAGTATATGAACTGAAAGCTAATCTGGGGCACTTTGCAAGCTGATCCAACTAGATGAAGCATTAAACATGGTGACCCAATTTGAGCCCTTGTTCAGTTGGGTGATTCTGATACAGTTTGAAAGAGATTCTTTTTATGATTTTTCTATCTGTGATATCTTCAGTAAATTTTCTTTGGTTATATAACACATGAGAAATCACATATATCTATTTGTAAATAAGCTATAAACATCTATTTAGAAAAATAGAAAAGTTCTATTATTTTGTCTTGTTTTTGAAAGATTGTTTTTATACTATACTTTGCAATTACAATTGTAAATTCAAACTTTTTGATGAGGCATATGTAATCTTACAGCTCTGATTTTAGTTCTGAATTCTTCTTTTGAAGGGCTTGAATTAAAGCTTCTATACCCTGTTATATAGTTCTGTCATCATAGTTAACTACATGCGGATATATTACTACTTTTTATTTGCAGATAAGGTTGTATAGTTGCCATTCTGAATATAATCTTAAAAGGATATCTGGGTTTGTGTGTTAAAATACAGTTATGCAGTACTACTTTAATTGTAGTTTGTCCTGTATCAAGCTTAAAGCTAGACAGTAGCATTTGGGAGAAAATAATACATGAAACTTTTCTACCTATTCAACTACTGTCTTAAAAATATATATGGTAAAAAGTCTAGGGGCAACTGTGAAGTTTTGTAATGTTACAGACTAACAACTAGCCCTATGGCACCTTAAGGTACATCTACAAAGCAGGGCAAAAGTTGGAATAAGCAATGCAACTTCAGCTACGTCAATTGTGTAACTGAAGTCAAAATAGCTTAATTTGGCTTTTGGCACTACGTAAACAGCAGGAAGTCAAAGGAAGAACACTCTTCCTTTGACTTCCCTTACTCCTTGTAAAATGAAGGTTACAATGAGTTGGAGTAAGAAGCCTCCAGCTCAACATTATTTCAAAATAAAGGCTTGTAGGGTAGACACACTGTTTGTTATTTTGGAATAACTAGCATTATTCTGAAATAACGCTGCTGTGTAGACATTCCCTTAGAGACTAACAAATATTATATCATGAGCGTTTGTGGGTAAAACCTGACAAAGTGGATTTTACTCATAAAAGCTGGTGATATAATATATTTGTTATTCAATAAGGTGCTACAGAACTGCTCATTTTTTAAAAAAATATTGTTTATGTATTAAACAATGAGTGGTTTTACTCTGTAAGGCTGTAAAACACAGAACTGACAAATGAAAGATTGTGTAACTATTACTATTCCCTTTTAATGGCAAATTCATGATTTTATTCCATGCCCTTACCTAGATTTGACCCTTCCTGAGATCTCTTCAGAATTAATTTAGTTATAATAGCTTAAGACTTGGAGGTTGATTTTGAAAGAAGTAAAGAAACAATTTAAAAACAGAAGTATCTTGGAAGAAGTTTATGGTTGGCGTTTAGGAGGCACTAATAAATTAGCAGCAATTTTATAATTTCCATGCATAACTTTTTTTATACACTTTAACATTGTGCCACAGATTATATTGGTCTAGCCATCACTGCTCTCAGATCATTAAAGTTCTATTTTGCATGGGTGCCTCAAAAGAACTGTGTTTTTCTATATTCTTGTAGTTTTATATTTCTCTGCAATGTCATGCACAAATAATTTTATCTGCCAATTGTCCTTGATTTTACAATTTTTTTTATTTTGATGTGTTTCTCCTTTGCTTTGTGAACTTTAATTGGAAGGCTAAACAAGAAATTTATACACCAAAGTTTTTTTTGGTAGCTATCTTAATTGTTACGGAAATGTTACAGTAAAAAGTACAGAATGGTTTGGAATCCTTAACTTCCTTTGGGGAGATACTAAGTTTGGTTAGGTAGATTGTAATCTTTTATTTTTCAAAATTCTTATAACATATGCCTTTCTCCATGGAATAATGTTTGGGTACCCTCAAGGATGAAGACTTGATGAAAACACCTTGAATAGCAGAAACCTAGGTTACACACTAGGACCTGGAATTCTGCTGTTGTCATTTCCTCATAGATCTACATTTTGCCCTTCTTGCTATTGGGTTACTTGTTTCTTCAATAAGCTAACATTGGCACTGAAAACTGTATTGTAGTAGTATATATTTATAGGGCAGATTATTGCTCTGCATGCACAATTGCATGGGCTCATGTATGTGATAGTTTAAATGTCAACAGATTGGGTTCTCAGGCTCACTGCAGACTCCATAAAGAATGGGGGTATGTGAAGGAGATGATGCAATAAAAGAATTAATAGTATTGGTAAGTAACCAATTTGTGGATTTGTCCAGCTATGTGAAATTCCCCATTTATGCCTTGTGAATTCTTCATGGTGGTAAAAAAAGGCTCCTCAAAATAATTTTCCTGACTGTAAAACTTCATCATTTTTTTTCTGTTACAAAAATGGAAACATTTTGGCTACATCTACACTGGCCAGTCTTGTGCAAGAACATATGCAAATTAGGCGCGGCTATGACTAATAAAATAAGCAATGACTGAAAATAAGCGGCAGAACTACTCTTGTGCAAAATGGGGTTTTTGTGGAAGAAGGAGCCGTGCAGACTGCTCTTTCTTGTGCAAAAACCACTTGCTCAAAAATGACGGCTCATTAAGTATACAGATGAGGCACAGCAAATATTCATCGCCACACCTCATTTGCATATTTTCTTGCACAAGAGAGCACAATGTAGACGTAGCCAAAGAGAAGAAAAATGTGGAGATGACAGTAACACTTTTGTCCTACTTAACCTATTTGGAAACCTCTGATGCCTTATATGGTATTGGGGAGCCCTTATGAGGTTTCGGTCTAAATTTTCCGGAAGATAAAACTGCATTGCAAAAACAAAAAACAAACAAACAATCCCTATGTCAGGAAAAATCCAGTCAACATACTACTTGCTAAGACATATGAATATAAATGGGCTATTTCTAGACTACATCCCTTTTTCAGAAAAGGGATGCAAATTAGACGTATCGCAATTGCTAATGAAGCGGGGATTTATCCCTTATTTTAAGAGGGATAAGGAATCTTTCGGAAAAGGCTTTATTTTCCGAAAGATCTGCGTCTAGGCTGGCGCTTTTTTCTGGCAAAGCTCCGTGCCGAAAAAAAGCGGCAGACATTTTTATGCTAATTAAGCGGGGAAGATTTAAATCCCCGCTTCATTAGCAATTGCGATACGTCTAATTTGCATCCCTTTTCTGAAAAAGGGATGCAATCTAGACGTAGCCATGTAGTTTGACTCATGAGAGATCTTGACAATGCAGTTCAGTATTTCAGACAAAGTACTGGCAATCAGAGATTCTTGTGTTCCAATTATTGAATGTCTGACTGTGTGCAGTGTGATTTCTCACAGCAAGTATGAGAAATATGGTGTAAATCAGCATTTAAGATTTCCTGGATAAATTTAACAGGTTAAGTTACCATTTTTAAAATAACTTCTGCTTTGCTATTCTGTAAGAGCTGGTTGATGTTTCCATCATACTGTTTGGGGGAAAAAGCTGGTCTTGAACTTAAGACAAAGTATAGTAATCTAAAGACCTGGGTCTGTCTCCAGCTTCTGTTAGACTTCCTGTGTGATCTTGAGCAAGTGATTTAATATCTTGGTGCCTCCATTTCCTCATCTGTAAAAATAAGAACTGTTGCATTATTTCACAGGTGTGAAACTAAACTAATTTAATGAAGTGTTCAGTGGCTATATGAATGGCTTAGACATGCTACATGAATGGCTTAGACATGCAAATTATTACCAGTAATTATTTTAAGCTAATTTTTGTTAATACTGCTTGACTGACACATAGCATGCACACTGTCATCCTATAACTAAATTTGCCCAAACAGTTCTGTTCTAGAAAAAAAAAATCAGATAGTATTTATGCAATGGATCCTCTCTCTATCCTGCAGTATAACAGGTCTGTTGATGTTCATATAATGCAGTCACAAAATATCTTTAGGATGTGGTTGTTTTTTTACAAGATAGAGTAATTTATCATTCAAGAGGAAATTTATCAATCTAGATGAGATTCTTTGTCATATGCTTCCTTACTGTGATGTACATGTAAAGGAATAAGATTCACTATCCTTACATTAACAGAACGGTGCTAAAGAATAATGATTTGAGATCAAGACAAGAGTTAACTACTCATCTCACCAATCAGTGGCCTTCCCCGGGGGCTCTGGATATCAATGCTGTTGCCCTGGATACTCTACTTTATAGAAAGCACAGCCAACAATGGGATGAGTAAGTTGAATATTTTTGTTCACTTATATTGAGGAATATAGTACTGTAGTCAGAATCCCTCTAATATCATCTCTGTTTCCCCAAGACATCATCTGCTAATATGCCCAACTAATACTAACAATACCCTTAGGGCCTGGCTACCTGATAGAGAAGAGTGTAGGGATTAGGATGCAGTTCAAATATTTAGCAGTTTGGAGTTAAAATAGTATGTACAGTTATGGTACCAGCTTAGGATCTAGGCATTGAATAAAAACACGAAAAGGAAATTCACAGATCAGTTTTAGAATTTCAGCACATTGGTGTTATTAATGAAAATATTTTGTTATGAGCTAGAATGTAATACTGCAAATTGGTGTTGATTTAGTTTTTAAACAATCACTTAATTCTGTTTGCTTAACTTTAGATGACTGATTATATCACAGATATGGTACAATAAAACAAGAATAATGGATATTCTGGAATATGCCACACTTAAAAATATTTGAGAGTACAAATAATTGCAGTCATATCAAGATGAAAAAACATCAGCAAAAATTTCATTATTCAATTTCACACAAATCTTTAATACACCATTAAAATTGTTATCTTTAGTAACTTTTACAGTACAGGCAGTCCCCGAGTTACGCGGATCCGACTTAAGTCGGATCCGCAGTTACAAACGGGATTTTTCTCGCCCCGGGGGACGGAAGCGGTGGGACACCCAGATGCGCCACGGTCCCGCCGCCCACGTCTTCCGGGGCGAGAAAAGCTGCTTCGCGTCTCCCTGGTCTCCTGGGGCGGAGGGAGCCAGACCAGGGAGACGCGGGCGGTGGGCCGAGACGCACCGCGGTCCCGCCTCCTGGGTCCTCCGCGGCTTTGCTCCCCGTCTCCCTGGTCTGCTGGTCTACTGGAGACCAGCAGACCAGGGAGATGGGGAGCAAAGCCTCGGAGGACGCCGGCCGCGGGGCAGGCCGGGCGCGGCTGATGCAGGCGGGACCACAGCGCATCTCAGCGGGCCCGGCC